GCGTAAAAACAGCTGATTTTTTCATTTTGAACCATGAAAATAGTTGATTTATAAAAATTGTATTGTATGGAGATGTTGTCAGGCTGAAGTTGACGATTTACTCAAAATGTCATATTTTTGCGATCTCAATACATTTAAGTAATCGTTCAAATCAAAACTTGAATCTTTTACAGATAATGCTTTTGTGAAAGCCGAATTGACCTTGTAGAGTTCAATTTCAACAATTTCGAAACCAAAAGATTTTGAAACGTTTCGACAAATCAACGTTTTTACACTTTGTAGACCTTTTTGATGCCTTATAGATGATTTGGTTTTTAGCCCCCCAGCACCCATTATTCATTCAATATTATATCGTTTGCAGATCATTATCAACGAGATGACTCGTGGTGTTCAAGGTGTTTGATTTTCTACGCTGACGTCATTAACATTGCACCCGTACTCACAAGTACCATATACATATAAACATGAACAATGACTTGGAAATTCAGTATTGTTTCAAAATGTTGTGGTGGGCACTAATATTTTTTCCGTACCTCACTACTTATGAAAATTTGACAAAAGAAATATTGCAGTATCTATTTCGATATGGATACATCGATAACAATAATTCTTTCGCAGATTTTGAATGAACTATGACTAGTTTCCAAGAGAAATATGATCTTCACGGGGATGATATACTGATTTAGATACTCTGAATTTGATTCATAGACCGAGATGTTTAATCGTTGAAAACGCTTTTACGATTCAGTGTAAATGGATATCAAATGGTCTTTTCCGCAAGCATCTGCCAAAATGCTGCCTAATGCTGAAAAAGCCTTCATTCCGCCGAAACTGCATGGCTAATGGTGTATGTCATTTTGAATTTGATGGTCCTGGGAGAATGTTAGCTCATGCTTACACACCTAGGAATGATGAATGCAAAGAAATTCATCAAGACAAAGAATAATCGTGGGATCTTAATGGAAACGTAGGTATGAATTTTCTCATTACCCTAACTCACGAAATTGGGCATGTACTTGGATTGGGGCATAGCAGCCAAGAAACTTCCATTATGTTTCCTTAGTATCAACAAAAAACAATTCAATTAGGAAGAGATTACGAAATTGTCATTGAATATTTTTATGGTCGACGTAATACTTCAACAAAAAAAACTTCAACGACAAATACTCCCCAAATAACGAAGAAAATATCAACGACAAATACTCCCCAAATAACAAAGAAAACATCCAACACCCATCAGACTGAAATAAAAAACCTTTCCAATGTGAAAATCCCTGATTTTATTTTTTTGGCAAAAGCTCTAGAATTTACAAATCACAGACTATATGTAGGTTACAACAAATCTTTATGAAATGAGACGTTGATACCTGCGAAACCTGAGAAAATTGCTGATTATATGAGTGAAAACATTTCTGTTAACAATTTATTTTTAATTGAGCAGGCGAATAATTGCATTCGATAAAAATAAACGCGAATATTATGTGGCAGTATTTCCTAGCCTAGAAATAAAAAAAAATTATCCAATTCGAATAACATCCGATATAAATGTGATATTCCAAACTATTATTGGAAAAGGTTACCTACTGTAAGATACTGAATCTAACGTGGAATTTTTCGAAACACCTGNACTCAATATTTCATCCTTCCAAGCCGTTGAATAATGAAATAACCTATCAATAGGCTATCAAAAGACTTACAACTTGAATTTGATCTAAATTGATCTCTATATCATGAAGCCTTTTCCCAATTAAACTTTGAATACGTGTAATTGATGACTTGTTTATTTTGTGGTGATTCATGATCACTTTAATCAGGTGAATAAAACACCAAGTTTTCAATCTTCACATCTCAGTTTTATACATGATATTAGGGTCAAACCCGAAACCGGTCGTATAAATAAAATCGTTTAGTGGTAATTAGACAAAGGTGTTTTTATTAATTTCATTAACTTGTAAATGTTTTGAAAAATTTCTTTTTTCCCTACGTTTAAGGAAATTTAGATTACCAAATAAATTACAAATGCCAGGCGATCATTATTTATTTTTTTCCGAGTTGAATCGATGATCAAAGCTAACTTTGGTTAGAGAACATAAATAAAAAATTGATTGTACGCATCCTATATGAAATTTTCTGCTATATTTATCTACATCTGGTTAACTTCTCCTGATGAAACTAACTTGGTTAACAAAGATATGACTAAGTGTCCTTCTGACATCTTGGATCGCACGTTAGACACTTCTATTCAATATAAATTTACATACAATCACATTTTCTTTATTTCGAATATATTTTATGTATGTGAGTTGTTTTTTACCAACCCTATACAGTGGTTTATAGTACTGAATAAACATCAAGACACAAGGTAAGTTTTCATTTTCAATTTTTTTCTTATTTCATTGTTCTCAATTATATTATATTTTTGTTTATATGAATATTATGCATTGTTCAAGTCACTATCAGGTATCGTCACCATGGTATTTTGATCCGCTTTGTATACGTTCCTCATGAACTAACGAAGGGATCAACGGTCGTGCAAACAAACGAATTAGCTCCTTCGGTATAAATTATCAACAAAAATTTCCTCAATCTAAGACGCTCTGTTTCTTAAAACACGTCTTCATGACACGAAGTGCTCTAAAACATATGCACTGTTGTCACACATGAAAATCAAGGTAATGAACTTGACATAAATTCTTCACACTCTGGATATGCGTTTAAATTTTTTTGAAAACGTTTTTTGGAAGCGATTGAAGTGATCAAAATGGCTGTTTCAACGCATTAAAATTTTGCGAAATATTTCATGCGATAACCGCGGCATAAATTAACGTTTTATCTCGCTAAATTTTTGACATTTTTTCGAAGCGATTCTCATGTCATTTCTGCATTATTTTCCGTGACGCGTTACAATGCAAATAATACGGGTTTTTGCAAGAAATGGGGCTTTGAAAAATGCATTTTTTTCGACACGGTTAAACTTACAAAACTGACTATTTTAGCGCATCAAATTTTGCGAAATTTTCAATGCGTTTTAGGAGACTAAAACGAATGTTTTATCGCATTATATTTTTGTGCGCATTATATTTTTGTGCGCATCGAAAGATCATAAATTACAAATGACAGGCGGTAAGTTCGTCATCTCCTGATGATGTCAACTTGGTTAGAGATCTTAAATGACAAATAATATTACGTTTCAAATAAGTTTTCAAATAAGTAAACGGAGGAGATCGCACGTTGAAACGCTAGATCTTCGTTATAACATTTTTTTCTCAAATGACATCCTATACAAATTTTTTCTGTTTTGTTTACATACATCTGGTTTACTCCTTCTGATGATGCTAACTTGGTTAATGAAGATTCGGCTCACTGTCCTTCTGGCATGTTGGATCGCATGTTGAAACGTTAGGACACCGACACAAAAACGAAAACACTCTGTACACATTAAGGAATCACATATTGAAACCTTAGAGCCCCGTTAAACTGCCGTGTTTTTTCTCAAATAATGTATTTTATCACATCTTGTACACATTGACGTTATGCTTTTTTTTAATGATGTATTTCGACAAATGACATGTATTCAAACACAAAAACGAAAAAACGCATGTAACGTATTTTGAAATGTCATTATTGAATACTCAGAATACCCCCATTGCCCATTTTCAAACGTTTTCTATCGAGATCGCATGTTAAAACGTTAGGCCCCCGTTAAACTGCCATTTTTTTTTAAATGACGTATTTTGAGACAACTATAAACATCGAAGAATCACACGTTAAAACGTTAGAGCCCCATTAAATTACAGTGTCATTTCTTAAATGTATATGTATGTATATTTATATTTTTTTCAAGTTTCAGATCTGATTTACCTTTTTTGGTATGCTATATTCGTACTTAGTTATGTTATAGTTAGTTTTTTGAATTATTGTTTTTTCCCTGCTATAAACATTGTATGTTTCTTGGGAAAACAAATTGTTATTATTATTATATTATATCAATCAATTAATAATAATATGTACATGAAGACTAGGATAACATCGGTTTCTAAGAAAACTAGTTCAGTAATGAAGATCTATTTAAATCCAGTTGGTCATTCAGTAAAATGTTCGAATTTTTAAGTTTATTAACTTCCATTGCTTTCAAATGATTTAGCTTCAAACCATTGATTCGAATATGTTGAACTTGTTTTCTTATTTACATAGCTCATATACTGTGTCCGTAAAGTATGGAACAAATTCATTTTTAGCTAAACAGGTCATTTTAAGAAATAATCCTGAAACACGTCGATTTTTATATTATTATTATTGTATGTATATCAGGATTTCCTAAATAAACGTATTCATTCATTAATTCGAAGCCACAACAAAATGAACAGAATAATATTTTTATTTTCACTGGTCAGGTTACACTCAGGGCACTGATGAACCCAACAGTGACATTGAAAATGGTCTGGAATATCGTGAAGAACTGAGGAATAGATTGACTTTATACCGGGTACCTGGAGGTATGACAAGTGGGTCAATAAAAAACAAAAAATACATGGAAAATATCGGCTACAGAACAATTACACGGTTAGTTGTTACTGGGGACTGTCCATCAAGAGAATACCTGACCAAAATGGGGCTGTACAACAATTGTTTTAGCGGTAGGCAACACAACAAAGTAATAGAGATCATATTTTTGTAAATGTGAGGCACTGGATCACAAAAAGTAAACAATTTAGAGATAACCCAAATTATGTCCAGAATATTATCATAAAAATGATGGGAGAAAAACGCAATAAGCCTTTGAGACTGCAATGTTAGTAATTTCTGAAACAAATATTAAAATATTCAGTTTTTACTCACTTGTGCTCTTCCTGAATCTCTTTCATCTCGAAGTTGTTCATTTTCTCTGTCACACTGTTCTAAGATTTGCTCCAAACTTTCTATTTTAGTTCGCAAGATTTTCTGATTCTCCCTGAAATCTTTATCTTGGTAATGGGGTGGAGTGCGATTTTCCAAGGCGATGACTTCACTACGTAGCCTCGATATCTCAATAGTTTTTTGATTGAGCTGTTTCTCTGTGAAACAAAACATTAATTTGTATATATTTCAGATCTATAATCAGTCTCACCTAATTTCTTATTTTTTTCTATTTGTTGCTTCCAGTCTTCTTCCAGGTTATCTTTTTCTTCCTGAACTAACTCCAAATTCGCTCTGAGTCTTGCTATCTCTTTGTCTCTTTCCAAAATTCTACTGACTTTTGAAGCAGGTGTTTTCAAAATATCTAATAGTGGACTACCTCTTGGACTGTTACCAGCCGAAACTGACAACCAACTGTTACATTGGTCAACGCCTTCATTCTCTTTATCTTCTATGCAACATTTTATAATAGCGGAAAGCTCTTCATTGGTTAACTTAGAACAATCTTGTACTTTTTCCAGAAAGTTTTTGATATTGATTTGTATAACTTGTTGCAAATTATGGCATAAAGGAGAAGTTAAAACATCACGTCTGTCATGTATACATGTGTAGTGCATCAACAAAGATGTTACTGCACACAAATCCAAATATGGTAAATCACTCAAGTGAATATTCGCCTTATTATGTATTTCAAAGTGTGGATAATGTTGACTTAGAATGAGAAATAAACATGTTAAAACATCCGATTCCGTTTCTGAAGATTTTTTTCTGTAAAATAATGCATGTAAAAGAATGTGAAATAACAAACCTTAACCCTTGAATGCATATTGTTGCAATATTGCAACAACCGATTTCATAGGCTTTTAAATTGTTACTGGCTATTATACGATGCCATAGCACAGCGTTGCATATCTACAACGATCCAATTCGAAGAATACCGTCGGATATTTCGATTATAAAAGGGAATGTATTTAGGATTTTAGAATTTATACTTCAGTTACCAGTTGACATTTGACGGTTACAGTATAAAGTCATTCAAAACAAATGCATTTTGATTTTCAATATTTTTAAATCACTCAGTATCCCTTAAATTCCCTCCATTACAAAAATTTCAGATCAGAGAAGTGAAATAAAGAGAAACATGTTACCTACATAACTTTTTGTAAATTGCTGAAAAATATTCCATCCTTCAGGTCTTCTAATTTGTGTATTGGTTTGGACAATTTCAAACAATTCACCTGAAAGTAATAATAAACATCATTTTCTTAAATACTGAAAATAACTATCACTTGCCCAATCCACCAATATTCGTTCCCATACAGGATTATCCATGATGTAATTAAGCCTCAAATAGTTTTTCAATAAACACTCATATACTATCACAACTTCAAAATTCCCTGCAAATAAGACGAACTACACAAGAAAGTCAAAACCACAGCAAAACCGTTGATTCCATTTAAAAAAATATCCGTTGAATTTGATTTCTGACATTCGACAAAAGAAGCCATTTTATTTGGAAATGCTCAAAACCAAACTTTTCAGAACTATGGGTACGTCATTGGTTACGTGATCTGTCTTCAATGGTTACGTCATTGGTTACATGATCTGTCTCCAAATTAATTTAATGCTAATAGGTTGCAACCTCATGCTAAATTTATATTATATCTAAAAATATATAATTTTCATTAAGTTGAAAAATTCCTGCATAATATCGCCATTTGAAAGTGGTGCACGTGAAAATTTTGGAAGAGGATTAAATTTGTCAAAAAGTATTTTGTGGTTTTTACAAATTTAGATACTAATTACGACTGGAAACGCCGTACAAAGAAAGTGAGAAAGAATAATAGGTCACAATTCGTGTTTGACAATGGTCATTTATTTTGTTATGCTGTATAAATTAGTTTGTACATAGGGTGGTAGAAAGGTTAACCTCCTATCCTGGAGTTAAGGTTGAAGGTCATTTATTCTTGTACGGCATCGATTCCAAAACATTATTAGACATCTGAAATTTTCCATAGGAATGAAGCCATTGAAAATCTTTGGGTTATTGTGAATAATATTAATGATCAGCTGTAAGAAAGGAAAACATTTTTATTTTTTGTGTTAAGGTTTTTTGATACTGTCAAGAATTTATCAAGTACTGAATTGGAAATAGATGTGATAGAACTTTTTACAAAACAAAAAATACATTAAATTTATTAGATACTTTGTTTATTGTGATATGGAAGAAGATGATAATGATTGCCAATGAACCACTTCGAAAGCCTGAAATGTTCTGTGTTTTTGATCCTCACAAGGATGGAGCCAGACGTCCATACGTGACATCTATCGGGAACATTGGAACTAAGGCAGATGTTGAACAAAACATCAATTCACTTCACTCAAAGTTCTTGGCCTTTGCTTCCAGATAGGCGCATTTAGCCAGCTCGATTCGGATGGTTACAGCTTGGTCTGATTGTGAATCATGCTGTAATCCAAGACTTCTGTTTTATTAATTAGATTTGCTGTTTACTGGTCCGTTATCTCTTCTCGTGATATAAAATTTACGTCTTTTTCATAAAAGATTATTAATTGCAATCCTACTCCCAGGTGGACACCCAGTCCACCTGGTCTCAAACCAGCGTGAATGAGAGTAGGTATTATATAATTATTTGACTTTAGCACTCCCACGTGGGCATCCGGTCCACCCCTGCCTCCAACCGGCGTGAATGGGAGCACTATTTATTCAAATACACTAAAACAATGTTCATAATCACTTTTTCAAATTTTGCATGAACGTTAGAAAACGGCGGACATATACAACATGAGTTCCACTTCCAACAATGGCGTCCACGTACCTTCTTTGTGAGCGGTCGCTATCGGCACGTCCGCCCACCATCATGTCAGAAACGAAACTCAAAAAACTAAGTCCTATCAGATGTTTCCACAAAGCGTTTTGGTTTATTGTACTCCCCGTTAGCGAAAGTAGTTCATTTCACCACTATGCTATAATAATCGCACCAAAAACAGTACTCTCACAAACTCCCAATTGAACATCACAAAACACAGTGAACACTCAACCTCTACTTCACATTCAGGTATTCCGATCAGATGTTTATAGTTTGAGTAGTAGAAATTCTTCCCTATTTTATTGCTTTTGCAGTCGTTGCTGCCCATGAAACTCAACGAGTAGCACATGTTGTGTAGTTGGCTCCGTACTCCTTACCTGAAAATATCAATTCAAGGTCCATTCATCTATATTTTTTGCACCTAAGTTTTGTATATAGGTTCCCTACATTGTAAATTTAAACTTTGTGACCATTCTGATGAAGGCTTAATAGCCTGAAAGACTTGCCTATGGTTTGAATTTCCCGAGTGTTTTGTTAATTAAAACTTTTTTTTTGACAAGACGCTCTATGAAGATTTATTTGGGATAAACAGACTATTGTTGAGTTTTTTCCTTGCAGACACCGATATACAAGTCCTAGACTGATAATCCCTTGGTAAGCACTTACAAATTTAACTGTGATTGCCACGTATACATAGCTATTTCATCAATGGGATACATTCCGTGTGCCAAGAATATTGATCGTTCAATTCATTTCAGATTTCACATGTGGAAGAATAGATAACGAAACAAACGATAATTATTTGAAGTTCATAAATTGGCAACTGCGTTTCATACATTATTTTTTTGCAGTAACAAACGAACAAACATTTTGTTTTGAATTTTGAATCGTGAAGTTCCATAAATGAATGTCATAACTGTCATAACTATTGAACTTCAAAAAGTTCGTTGCGGTTTTGCAGTTTGTTGAAATCAAGTGAATTTTGCATTTTGTTTGTAGTAGTGCGATGTCTGGCGATATACTACAATTTCTCCAGAAACAAAAGCAGTTAATATCTGAAGATAAAAAGAGATTGGGACTATGCCAGAACACGGAAAAGGAAACGAGTTTAGTTGAAGAAGTAGGTACTCTTTAAAATTGTGACAAGACAGTGTCAATTGGTGCTTGATAAAACTCTTCACTATTCATATAATTGTTTAATCAGCATATTCTTTGTTTAATTTCCCTCTCAGTTTTTGTGTCAAATGAAAGGGGTGTATTAAGTATAAGAACACATTTAGAAATAGAAAATCGCTCGACTAATGAGAATTTTATAGGAGTGGGTACCCTCAACACTTGATCATTTGATAGTTTGGAAGGTTAATCCTGATGAAACTTTTACTCAATGTCGTATAATATATACAGCTGTGTATGTAGTAATTATTACTACAGTTGAATGCAAACAACTTATATTAACATGAAAATGTGTATGAGCAGACATGGCAAAGGTTTGCATTTTTTTAAGTCTTATGCCCGCGAGATTAGTATCTGAAGAGTGTTTCAAAAGTTGCAATTTCCTAACATGGGGGTGATATGTGTTTGAAAGGAAACCGCTTTTATAAAATGAATGCATTGATTTTGCATTTTTGCAATCTTACACGCCCTTCATGTAATGAACAAGATCTATAACCTATGTCAGCATAGTTAGTATGCGAGAGGATAAGAGAGTTGCAAAGCATTTTTAAGTGGTAGTGGTAGTTTTTTTAGACTTCGGTAAGTTATCTTTGCAACCACACCTAATTGTTTGGAGAAAGTGAGCTGATGGTCAAAAATGACACCAAGACAATTATCTTCAGAGACAAGGAACAAATTCACACTCAATGTATACCGGGAATGTATGACAATAAAATTTGACGGATGACAAAAGAATTAAAACTGTTTACAATTTGAGGGAAAAGTAAATTTTGGGTTTTGATAATGGAAAAAGATTGTTATATGAAACTTCGACCACTAAAGAAAATTGTGGAAGGTTATATACAAAAAAAAAACAAGAAGTGTTGAGTTCTTTACAAAAAATAAAAAATTATATTTCACAGAGTTTATTGATGCATTTCATTAGTTCGGACTTCCATTGTCTAATATGATATAAACATTGTCTTTTCACACAAAATATAAAAACTTTTTAAAAATATGTTTGTCAACGTTTCCGGCTTCCATTTATTACCTTTCTTCATCAAATTGTTATTCACAGCACAACTGATTTCATTGGCATCTAGGACGTTGAATGCTTATGAGACGTTTCTAACCATATTCTCCTTACTTGTTGTAGGATCTGCATAAGCAATATTTTTCATATGTCCCCATACATAATAGTTCATAGGAGACATATCGGAGGAACGTGCTGGCCGAAGATATGGCCCATTTTTTACAAACTACACCGGAAACGATTTGATTGTCAATACCTGTTTCGCTATCACAGTAGTTTTTTCGTAGTGAATAACATACTGAAAAACTAATTCTTTACTCTAACTTTTATATACCCCACGTAATCACAAGTAGGAACTATCTACTCAGGTACATAAGTAGAACAGATAAGGGGCTTTTGGGGCGTATTCCCTATGGGACATAATTGCGTTGGTGAGTATGAAATAGACGTTTGCGGGGTTATCGATGCATATAAGGATGGAATAAGTATCGGAGAGATTCAGCTGAAAGATAAGAGCGTGGCTGAATTATAAAAATATTGGTATAATAGTAATAATGAATGAAAAATCGGATTAAAGAAAAAAACATGGCGGCGAGACATTCAGTGCAGCGTTAAAGAAAAAAACATGGCTCCCAGTTATCGTTCGAAAATATGTTATTTTACCTGCGTTCTGACCGTTTTTCGTTTTCGTGTCGGGATCCTAACGTTTTAACATGCGATCCCTCAATATGCACAGGGTGTTTCAAAAACGTTTTAACGTGCGACTCCTCAATATGTACAGGGTAGCTCAAAATACGTCGTTTGAGAAAAACATGGTAGTTTAACGTGTAAACATGCTAGTTTAACGGGAATGTAGTATTTCAACGTGCGATCCCAGTGAAAAACGTGTTTATATTCAAAAGTGTTGTGGAGTTATTGTTCGAAAATATATTGTTTTACATGCGTTTCGACTGTTTTTCGTTTTTGTGTCGGGAGTCCTGACGAATAAACATGCGATTGCTTAATATGTATAAGATGTTCCAAAATACGTCGTTTAAGAAAAAAATATGGCAGTTTAACGGGAGTGTAGCATTTCAACGTGCAATCCCAATAAGAAACGTTTTATATTCAAAAGTGTTGTGGAGTTAACGTTCGAAAATATATTGTTTTACATGCGTTTCGACCGTTTTTCGTTTTCGTGTCGGAATCCCTCAATGTGTACAGGGTGTCTCGAAATACTTCGTTTGAGAATAAAACATGCTAGACTCCTGTAAAACTGAGTCTAGCATTTTAACGTGCGATTCCAATGAGAAACGTGTCAATACGTTAGTTCAACGGAAGTATAGCATTTCAACGTACGACCCTAATGAGAAACGTATTTATATTCAAAAGTGTTGAGAAGTTAACATTCGAAAATATGTTATTTTATGTGCGTTCCGACCGATTTTCGTTTTCGTGTCGGAGTCCTAACGTTTTAACATGCGATCCAACATGCCAGAGGGACACTGAGCCGAATCTTCATTAACCAAGTTAGCATCATCAGGAGGAGTAAACCAGATGTAAGTAAACATAACAGAAAAATTTGTATAGGATGTC